GGGGGGGGAGGAGGAGGGGTGGCGGTGTTGTTTGCGCAGCGGTCAGCGCCTTGTTTGTGTAGTCTCAGGTTTTCTCCTCCCTCCTCCCTCTTTGTCTCTCCACACGAGGAGCGCAGGAAGGGGAAAAAATGTGAAGGGGGATAAAAAAAAAAGAAGAAAAAAAAGAAGGGAGGGAGGGAGGGAGGGAAAAAAACGTTCGAGAGAGACGCATAAATCAGAGAGACGAGCCAGCTACTCTCGAGCACGGCTGACTGAACCCTGCTGCTGCGCTGCGCCCCGCGTGTGTGTGTGTGTGTGTGTGTCTGCGTGCGCGCGCGCGTCTGTGTGTGTGTGTGTGTGTGCGAAAGGCAGGGAGAAAAACAGCCGCCGCCGCTGCTAACCACAGTCACCACGGCACATTAGAGGGCCATTAGAACGCGATTATACTCCCAGTGCTTACCTCTCATTCACACTGTTGCTCTCTCCCCCCATTCAGCCTCGCACACGCGTAATCACCGCCCCCCCCCCACACCCCCCCAACCCCCCCCTTCATCATCGTAAACGTGTCCGGCAAACGCGCACAAAAACGCCAGACCTCTCAAGGAACCGGAGAGGAAGCCGCGCGTCGGCGGGGGGAAGAATCCGCCGCTTCAGATGACGCACACACACACACACACACACACGCGCACACACAAACACAAAAGTGTCCGCCGCACAGCCCGCAGCTCGATAAGTATTAAAACTCTAGAGATCGATAAATCAGTTTGTAAAAAATCTGTCAACATCCTGGGAGAAAACGTTTAGGCGTGTGAGCAGAAATGCACGGGAGAGAGCGAGACAGCGGGCCACCCAACTTTAATTAAAAGCTTTCAGAGCAAACGGGGGGGGGTGGGGGGGGGGGGGGGTGCGATTCAGCAGAATACACACACACACACGCACGCACACACAAACGCTCGCGCACGCTCCTCTTTTGTTTTTGTGCGCACAGAGAATCGGGGGGCTTACAGCGAGAGATCGGCAGCTCCGCACAAAGACCGGAGAATAAACTCCCGAGCATCCGTCTCCGCGTAATGATCCCAGCGATCCCTCACGCTGCCCGCGCGTGCGCGTGCGGGCCCGCGCGCGAGTCGCACCTCGCCTCGCGGAAAATTAATGAGATGTGAGAGCGTTGCGGAGCGAGAGGAGGGGAGGCAGGCAGCGAGTGTGTGATCTGCGAGCGTGTGTGTGTGT